CCAATCCACGAATTTGCATCATCGTACACCATTGTATTCAGCGAGCTGATATCTCACAACAAACCGGGTTGAACTCCATTGGTCAATGCTTCTCACTAGAACTCCAGGAAATGCTTGCTGAAGTCAGTTACTAGTGAGCTAGACCACCATGGAGACTGATAGGTCTTGGGTTCGAATCTCACAGGGGGCGGGATCGTGAGTGCGCACTGCTGAGGAATCCCATACTAGGACGAAACAGCCGTTCAGTTCTTCCAGGTTTTCTATGGTGATCTAGCTTCAACTGACACATAATCTCAACTATTGAAAATAGATTATTTATATATATGACATCGTAAAATGTTTAGACTCAATAAGTAGGATGAGTGTTAACTCGAGAAAACGTATTTCACAGTTTTACTTTCATTTTTCTTTTAACTCCATAAGTTATGAATTCTTAGTAGAATTTTAAGAAACCCGAATTCTAGATAACAATAATGTATTCCCTTGAGTTCTAATAAATTTTCAGTTTATATTAGTTTGTAGAACAAACCATATTTGACTTGAATCATTCCTTCGAAATATACTGTAAATATATCAAATTTTAGATTAGTATAATGATATTAAGACTATGTACATGATATCTCTTATCATGTCTTTTTGTTAGATTGTTATCAGTAAAATAATATAACTGTCTTATACACAACTTGTTGAAGTAATTCATTTTCTACTGTTTACCAATTACTCTACTTTAGGTTACTTCATAGAATTTTAAACTTTGATTCAAGTATATAAGCAAAGGTGAATAGTGGTTAGTAGTGGAATTCAGTTTGATGCATGATTCGTCCTATTTGAGACTTGTCAGATGGATGTAACTGCATCTCACAAATTGATGTTCACTCTAGGAATCGACCCCAGTATCGTTCGCTTCAAACTTCATCACATTATTCACTTAGCTACTGAGTTCTGATAGCCATTTGCTTGTACAATGTAGTGAAGTTGAAATTCACTTGGTATTGTTTACTTGAATCTTGTCATTGATGTTTACTACTTCAAATGATCAATCTCTTGTTGGTGTATGTGTATCTTGTACGGATTGTATCGATATTTCGTTAAGTCATTAGGAAGATACAAGCAAACAAAACCAAGTGTATTCGATCTAAATATTTTCAGCTCATTATGTTCTCCTGTTTCATGAACTTAACTTACGACTTCTCATATATTACCAGTTATCTTTAAGTCTAATACAAGGCTATATATTCATAGATTGTGAACCTTTATATTATATTATTGTATGAATAATTCATTTCATTTCTCCTTGCATTTCATATTCTTGCACATTAAATATCTAAATATAAGTTTATGTATTGTATCAGAAGTCTATCATTAACTGTTTACTGATATATTTAATTGTAATTTTAGTCAAAAAAAAAAAGATTTTCATTTACTTATCAAGTATAATAAATAACCGTTGAATTCATGAGTCAATTGAAGCTAGACCTGCATGGAATATCTGAAAGCACTGGACATCTGTTTCATTTTAATATAAGACTAAGCACTACGTATCCATGATCCCACAAACAATACTTGAACATAGGAACTATCGATCTTGATCACGAACGCTTAACCTCTAAATCACTGTCTAACTTCAATTAATTCAAAAAATTGAGCCACTGTTCACCATTGTCTTTAGTCGGTCACTACCTCAAAATAAACAGGGATTGAAGTTCATTGTTCACAGTTTTCTAATAATAATCATCATGTACTCATTAGTGACTGTCCTCAAAGTATATTTCTTGCAGTTGTAGTAAAAAGCCATAATCAGTGAAATTCCACTGTATCTATTGTTAAAGTAGCTACTCACTGAACACAATGGCGTACGGTGGCGCAGTTTTTTTAGATTAGTTGAAGTTAAACATTGAGTGGTCTAGAGGTTGAGAATTCATACGAAAGATGTATAGATCCTAGATTCCAATCCTATGTGCATGATCGTGGATATGCACTATCGAGAATTTCCATACTTGGATGAAATGATGGTTCCAATACTTCCAGATATTCCATAGTAGTCTAACATGAATTGACTTATGAATAAATATATATTTATTTAAATTGATTATAACAACCTTTTCAAATGATAGATAGGCGGTTCAAAATATTGCGAATTATTTTCATTCTTTTTTTTTATTTTATATCAAAAAAACTGATCGCTTGTTTGTTTGTTTGTTTGTTTCTTTGTTTATTTCTTCGTTTTATTTTTCTTTCTGTTTTTGTTTTTCATGTGTTAATTTCTGTTTTGTTTACTTTCATGTATCCATGTTCATATTTTATTTATTAAATAGAGAAAAAAACACATTATAGTGCATGAATTAACATTTGAGTTTACGAGAAAAAAAAGAAAGGAAAAGAAAAAAAAAGAAAAAACAATAATATAGAGAAAAAAGAAAAAAAGAAAGAAACAATCTTACTGTTACATTTTCTTAGTTAAACCTTCATGATATAAATTCACTTGGTATTGTTTTACTTATATCTTCGCATTGTTATTTAAGACTGCAATTGATCAGTCTCTTGTTGGTATATTTGTGCATTCAATGCGAATTGCCTCGATATAGCTTTAAGTCACAAGGTTTTTTAAGCAAAAATAGATAGTGACTAGTAGTGGAATTTAGTTTGATACACGTTTGGTTCTATTTGGAACTCACCTCATTGCACAAGCATGTGGTTATCAGAACTCAATAGCTATGTGGATTACGTGATGGCACTTGAAGCGAGTGGTACTGGGTTTGAGTACCACAGTGAACATAAACTCTAATACAGATATATTCAACTGACTGGTCCCAAATAGGACGAAACGTGAGTCAAACTGGATTCCACTACTAGCCACTATTCATCTTTGCTTTATTATATATTTCAAAAAAAAAAACTATTATCTTACTATTCAATAAATAAAACTAAAAAGGAAAAAAAGGAAGAAAAAAGCAAAAAGAAAACAAACAATTTAATTGATTTTGAAAATAATGAAGATAGAAAAAAATAAAATAAAGAAATTTAAAATGAGCAACATTATGATTATTATTTTTCTTTATTTTATTTTTCTTTATTTTGTTTTTCTTTTCTTCCCTAGTTTTAAATCATTTTAATAATCCTCTATCATTAAACTATAGAGAAGTCATTAAATATACTTTAATCATTAAATAGTTTAATATAAGAGATTGTATATTGTTTGATGTTAAATCATTGAAAAATTTATAAACTACTTATTATTATTGATTTTTTTTGTATTTCAGTAGTTTATTTAATTATTTTCTTTTTATTTCTTGGTAAGTTATTCATAATTTTTTTTAATTTTATATGAAATCAAATCAAATCAAGATGTTATAGAGTGAATGTATTGTATTAATTTGTTTTAGTTATCATCAAGATTAATAAGTAGTATGAAGTAGTAAATAGTAGAGTTCAACTAGATCAATTGTAAGATAGTAACTTATTGATGACAATGATGAATGTATTGCTTAATTTTGTGAATTAGTTAAAGTTAGACATTAATACTATTGAATGCTGGCTGACTAAGTAGTGTAGAGGTTAAGCGTTCGTGTAGGAGATCGATAAATTCTGGTTTGGAATCTCATGTGGCCGGATGATAAGTGTACACTGCTGAAATGTCGAATGCTAGGATGAAATGGCCGTTTAGTGATTTCAGGTTTTATATAATGGTTTAACTTCAATTGACTTATGATCTCATCTATCGAAATTACTATAATATATCCACAAAAACCCCCTTTTGATGTATATATATGTGTTAGAACAATGAATTTGAACATATATTATAAGAAATGGACAAAACGATCTTGGACAATGAAATGTTCAAATTCTCCTAACGAGTATTTTTAAAGTTATTTTACTTACCATGACACGTGAAGGTTGTGGATTCGATATTGAAGAAGGTTGTACGTATCCAATCCTGAATAGCTTATGTCAGTTCTTCATGAAAATAAAGTTCCTGAGCTTTTAGTCCAAGTAAAGTGGATGAACAATTGATGGAAATCATCAATCTATATCATTTCTTTATTCATGTTGTTATTACAATTAATCATTGTTCATACTTTTGTTCTTTTCAATTCAATCTTCTCGACTTAATTCCGCTAGGAATTCCACTTCTAATCGGTGATATATTCTACTTATATCATTTGACTTAAGTAGTATACACTAGATGATATCATATATGTTCAGATTATGTTTTGGTTTATAGATGTCAAGTCATACATCATTCATCCATTAACCCTAATAATGAAGTAAAAACAAACAACTATATTTTTCGGGTTAGTTGAAAAATAAAATAAAATTGACAATATCTGTACTGGATAAAAGTATTCAAAGAGATTTCATTTCACACTTATATAAACATACATAGAAGTAATACTGACAAATTTCAATGTTTTAATGATTGCGATCATGAGTCAATTGATGCTAGATCATCATAGAAAACCTAGAAGTATTAAACGGCCGTTTCATCTTAGCATAGGACACCTCAACAGTGCACATTCATCATCCCATCTCACAGGATTCGAACTCCAGGACCTATAGGTCCTTCCTATATGAATAATCTTCGAATTCAACAACTTGATACCTAATTTACACATATTACTTAAATCATGATAAGATTGTAAATAAATAAACACAAGATTATTTATCTTTATATTAAAAATTTTTAAAAAAATGTAATTCCCAATTTCACAACTTTAGTTCTACACATAGTGTAAACATTATAAGAACATGAAAATCCACTTTCTATTGTATCCATAAAAACAATTTTTATTCTCTTATACAAATATACAATAAGTATGAATAGATAGATAGAGAGAGAGAGATAGCAATTCATTTCCTCCGGATCTAATATAATATATCACTATGATATTGTTAGTAGTAGTAGTAGTAGTAGTAGTAGTAGTAGTAGTAGTAGTAGTAGTAGTAGTAGTAGTAGTAGTAGTAGTAGTAGTAGTAGTAGAGGAAGCTGAAGTAGTAGTAGTAGAAGAAGAAGTAGTGGTAGTAGAAGAGGAAGAAGAAGAGGTAGTAGTAGTAGCAGTAGTACAACTAATTGCTTTGTTTTATCCTTATACAATAGGGAAAAATAATATTTAAATAAGAATATACATATATCATTTTCTATTGACCAATCATATAAATCACTAAGATTAAGCAACACAAAGGGGTTTCATCAAAACAGTTTTTTTTTAAGAGAATGAACCAATTGTTACATTAATTACTATCGTTCTGTTACTGTAGAAACGAAGTTTCTATTATTATTATTATTATTATTATTATTATTATTATTATGAGCCGTATCTACTTTGATAATTGAATGTTACTGTACTTTATTATATTATAAATAAATAATTACAATTGAGGTAGATATTCATATAAATAGATAGTCAAGAAAACAATGAAGAAAACCTATAATACACTTTACTAATTTAATGGGTACAATCTTATTTCCATTTTCTACTCAAATATACTAGTTTGTTCATTCATTTTAACTGATACACTATATTATTAATATTTATGAAGATAGAAGTGAAGATAATCATTGATTTCATTACCATAATTGTTTTGTGAATAGTTGTTTATTAACTGTTATTATTATTATTTGTCATTATTATTGTTTTTAATGGTTGAATTCATGAGTCGATTTAAGTTAGATCACCGTTGATAACCTGGAAGCATTGGATGAACGTTTCGTTCTAGTATGGGATTCCTTAGTACAACGCATCCAAGTTCATACATCAAAGAAACATGAACCCAGAACCTTTGGTTTCGCTCATAGACGCTTAACCTCTAAGTCAATGAACCAACATCCAATAGTGTTTACAATCGTAGTCGAGCTTAAGTCGACTCATGAATTCAAGCATTAGAAAAACTACAATTTCCATAAACCCCCATTCTGATTATTATTGTTATGCTGACTAGTGAATGGCTTCAAGATGTATATCCTGGAGTTCTAGTGAGAAGTAGTAACCAGTGGAGCTCAACCGGGTTAGTTGTAAGATGGTAACTCATTGATGACAATGGTGAACGGTGGAGCAACTTCGTGGATTGGTTGAAGTTAGACTTTAACACCGTTGGGTACCGGCAAATTCAGTGGTCTAATGGTTGAGCGCTCCCGCGCGAGACTCACAGGTCCTGGGTTCGAAACCCGCTAGGCGGGGTTGTGGAGGCAAACTGCTGAGGAGTCCCAGAATAGGACGAAACGACCGTCGAGTTCTACTAGCTTTTCCATGGCGGTCTAGCTTCAATTGTTAGTATTAGTTTGTTTGATTTGATTTGTTAATAAGAAGTTAATAAGCAATAGATAGTTTAATAATAGAACAATACATCTTTTATATTACTGATGGAAAATCTTTCATGTTAAAATAAATAGTTTTGCGGAGGTTTGTGGAGGTTGTTGAATTTGATAAACTACGGAGTTTAAACTTGTCGTTTTTCGCATAATTAAAACTATTGATGATAAGGTATCTAGAACCATGCGGTTTAAATAAACGAATTAAAAGCTGCTTAAATAGATGGGTATAAAGTAGCAACCAATTTATGGTTGAAACATTGAATTACACCAAGTGGCCCAACAGGCACTACTTGTAACCTAAATGTATGATCTCATACCACTGAAGCTGACTAATTTTAAGTTATTAAGATTTTTTTAAATTGAGTACATCCTTAAGAAGGGATAATGGGAGATCCTTTTTGTATTTACCACCGTATATATCTTGCTGATGACATTTTTTGATTTTTTTTTAAAACGAATGGAATTAATACACTTCTGTTAAGACCGAAGTTCAAGAATTCTTATTCATATTGCTTTGTTTATTGTAATCCATTTTGAAACTATTTTTACAGGATTAAATTCCCTTATTTCTTATCTATCTTACATATGATGTTTCATTGATTCTTAGAATGAATCGGAAGTCAAACTAAATAAATTGATGAAGCAAATCACTTTTGAACTCAGTTACTTCAGCTTGAGTTCTGGGTAAGTTGTTTCAGAAAACACTATAAGAAATACAGTGGCTAAAAATGTACGAATGTTAAGAGAGATGACTCATGTTTAAGTAGGTATAGTTTCCTATCTGCACCAGACTAGAAAATTATAAATATATATTTATACTACTGAAATACAAAAAGTAGGCAAAAACATAAAACGGAAATGTAAGTGCAGACTGATTAACAGAATCTATGAATTATGTATTCATATATTTTTTTATATGATATTTAAACATAGAATTTTTTTCAAATTAAAACATATAAAACAGGTTTCTCTAGCTCGACCCAGTTGTGAATCAATTAAAGGTGCAAATTTGTACATTTGTGGTCTACCAAAATTTATGACCGAATCTGATTTGGAAAAATTATTTCATCCATGTGGAAAAATTATCACTTCAAGAATTCTTTTTGATAATAATACTGGTAAGTATTCATATTTATTATCTCTTCTACATTGATTGATACATTAGTTTGCTTTTAATAATGTTATCTAAAGTCTTACTAATTTCAACCAACAAATAATAATCCTTAGATGGTGGAGAAGTTTTGTAACTCAGGTGGATAATTTTGATGGAGTTTTGTTCCCTGAGTTGAATGGTTCGGTCATGAAGTTTTCATTATTCTTCTGAATGACACCACCAGTACAAACTTCAAGTAGAAGTGAAGTGTTTAAATTTCTCTTCACTTCTACCTAAAGTTGATGCTGATAATATCGTTCAAAAGAACGATGAAAACTTTACAACCAACTTAGAAAACAAAACTCTATCAAAATTATCTCCTGGAACTACAAATTGTCTCTATCATCTTAAAATTCCTTTAATATAATAAATAAATCAAAAAAATAAAATCATTTACATTTATGATTTATCTTTTTTTCTAGGTCAATCTAAAGGTGTTGGATTTATACGTTTTGATCAACGTTATGAAGCAGAATTAGCTATACAACAATTTAATGGTTATCGTATTGGATCAATGACAGATAGTCCATTAATTGTAAAATTTGCTAATATTCCTACATCAAATAAAAATACTTTAACTAATTCTATTAATTCTATGATAACAACAACATCAACATCTACACATAATAATAATAATAATAATAATAATAATACTATGGATTATCAAAATCAAACTATAACCACTTTATCCTCTTTAATAAATTTAAATAAATTAGCTATGAAAGCTAATGAATTACAATCAATTATTACTTCGGATATTTTAAGTAATGATTCAACTTATGATTTATTAAATTCTTCAACTACATCACAATTAATAACAGATTTAAGTAATGGAAAGAATACACGTAGAATAGGTGGACCAATACATCCAACTACTGTACACAAATTACGGTAAGGGGATATTTGTGATGAATATTAATAACAAAGGTTTTTCATCATCATTATGACACTGATCTATGATTGTATAGTAACATACAGTTTTTTTTTGTTTTTTTGTTTATATTTTAATGTTAAAATTCATTTCATTTATTCAGTTATTAATAAAATCGAATGGCATTAGGTGTGTTGATATTTCTGTTTAGATATGGAAATCATCAGTCCTACATTTGTGAAATTGGACTGACAAATCATTCCACTGTCAGATGGAGATTAGACTAATCACTAACACTGTCTAAACCTTGATTGTATGAAGAGAGAGATCAACTTCAATTGGGAGTGTGATTGAGACATTGGAGAAAACTTCTTTCTGATGCTTGAACAGACTAGTCTAGAGGGGTCCACGAGGTTAGGCAGTGGTGAGTTAAAACGTAGGCCATAAGTTGTGTCGCAACCAGTGCACAGTGGTCGACACTAAACTGGCTTGTGGTAAGAGCATGAAGTGAACACATAATCTACGATGACTTACTTAAATAATGAATTGTATACTCATTCATTCTGTAAAAATACTTCTGGGATTAGGGGCCCTGAGCGTTCGTACCTATACCTATGTGTATACTATGGAATAAATGGGCCTTAGCCTATGCATTCTATGTATGCACCTATCGTATACTTACGAGGATAAACTTTTATGTCTACATGTGTTTGTGGGAGGTGTGAACTTACCTACACTTCCTATTACTAGCAACCGCGCCCATCTATACCAAGAGGTATATCACTGAGATGTAAGTATCTTTGATACCTTCATTTTAATATATGCATATGAAGCATACTTTGGAATAGTTTTCACGTTTCTTCACTGGTGAACTCATTAATAGCTCATCAGCGCTTTTGATTTGTATGAAAACTTCTGAAAGTAATAATAAAAGAGTAATGCGGGTCAATAAAAATATATTTGGATTACGTAGTGTGGGTCAGATAGGTCACTCATACTACTGATATTACAATACCTATATACACACATTCTCCAGTGTCCAGTCGCAATATCTTTACTCTACCCGAAGAGCTATGGGGCTTCCTTACTTCATTTGGTGGGTAAGTGAAATTGAACATTTCAGTTATAAAATAGATAAATGAAATTTTATCCGGTTTATAGATTTAAATGACTAATTTGTTGAATTATGTCTGTCTAAATGTGAGCATAGAAATAAACGAACCCTTTATAATGAATTTGTTTCATGTAAATAAAAATGAGATTATTCATTGTATGGTTGAACAAAAACACACCTTTATATGAACTATCTAATAATATTGATTGCAATTTACAAAGTAGAAATCCCCAGATCTTTTCAAAATGTATTGTAATAGTTACGAATAGATGAATTCACAAGGAAAGAAAAAGAAAATGTTGAATACACTTAAATATATTGCACAAATTGACTGAAATGGTTGGTCTACGTGTTACGTATGCCTGAACTTTGATTACCACGACGCTCAATGCTGATTAGTGTTGGGGATGGCTAGAAGAAAGTTAGGGGCGGTCAAACCAAAACTTGACATCAGTGCATGAAGTAACTAACTTCTAGTCTGAGCCATGTTGGTAGATTCAGACTACTTAGTTGGAGTCTGTGTGATAATCATAAACAATGGTTAGAGACTCTGTGGCTTAGGATCGATCAAGATGATATATACACCTTCTATATTCCCTTAAACTATGAGATTAAAATCGCTTCATGTCTTTCTTTCTAACTGTACTATGCCCTTATATGCAATCTTTCTTTTATATATTACCATCATTGAATTAACTACTTCTATGAATCCGGTGTTCATTTTGTCATGCTAATGAGGTATAGCAACTTGAAATGATACATATATATATATATATATATAATATAAATATATATACCAAGTCTTACGTTGCAACTGACTGACTGACCGACATAAGGTCTTATACAAACTTACAGAACAACAAAGAATAATAAGATGTTATTGTGAATTACTAATAGTTTCTGATAGACTAATACTATGATTTAAACAAATGATTGAATTTTGTTTTTGATGAATCTTTCAAATAGGACGAAACGCGTGACCTAGATTCCACTACTAGCCACTATCCATATTTGTTTATAATCTATTAAAATAGTTTTGAAATGTAATCACAATTGGTTGATCACTGTGTGGTGATCAATGTCATGTATGTCAAGTCCTTTTTGGTGCAGATCGAATTCTATCGACCAAGTTGCAGTATGTCCACTAGTCTAGGTGATTCGACACTGAGTGTACTATGTTGAGACAAGATGGCGGTTGGAGATAGTCAACAAGAAACCCGGGTCCAGGGTTGTTGTTAATAAATGGCATACTGTAATGTCTTTTAATTTCATTATTATTAATGTTCGTTGTCTAAATAAATTTGTAATATTAAATTACTTTTTGGAAACTTTACTTAATCAGATCACTGATTTATGAGTATTATTTAAACACATAAGCATTGATACAAGGTGGCACCAAATAGATATGCACCACATAAATCATGCGATTTGTGTGAGGGCTAAGATACTACCCGGGTGCCCAAACCGAAGCAGGTGGTTTCCTTAGGGGGTCACATCTCGAGCCTTTGACCAGAAGGTATAATCCACATGGCAGTGGAGCAACGTAAGGAGATGCACTCCCATGGTAACCAATGAACCAACAATTGGTTCATACACCTTTTGTTTCTCCTGAGTCCTAGAGCCCATGTACACTATTGGTTTTGAATCAGAGTTTTCTAACTCGTGTAGATGGATCGTCCATATCCATCAACCCAGTTAAAGCTGCGGACATTTGGTTTTCGTCTTCTAAACTTGATGAACAACACTCTCACCGCGAGAAAGCAGTGAACAGGACTTCTCTGGTAGTGGTTGTATGCACATGGTCATATGAGAGCATTTCGTGAGAGAGCAGACTTACCCCACTCTCGGCTTTTGATCAAATGATCTACTCATATCCTTATTATAAAAAAAATATTGGCACAGCACCTATTAATAGAACAGATTTTCATATTTGCTTATTTGTTTATTAAAACTCATATATTAACCTTACATTTTTTTAATAAAGTAATCATACCAATTATATTCATTACAGATTTAATCCATTAGATGGTTGTGCTATACCGGTACGTATTAATCCATTCGATAGTATAAATCATACTTCAATAAATAATTTAACTTCATCTCCAGCTTCAGCTAATGGATTACGTTTAATGGGAAAAAATGCTAATAATAATAATAATAATATTAATGCTGCAATCTCTTTAGCTGCAGCATTAGCAGCAGCTAGAACAGCAACAACAACAACAACGACAACAAATAATAATAATCAACCAGATCCTTTACAAACACAATTATTATCACAATTAAATGGAATTCCACAACAATTACCAGGAGTTATAGGGTAATTGATAAATGATTCATTTCATGATTCATTGAGTTCTAGTTATATAGTTTATTTTTAAGATTAACTAATTACCTTCACTTGATGTTGTTTTACTTGTATCTTCCCATTGTTATTTAGAACTACAATTAGTCAGTCCCATGTTGGCATATGTGCATCCTGTGAGGTTTGCCTCGATATAGTCTTAAGTCACAAGGTTTTTTTTTAAGCAAAGATGGATAGTGGCTGGCAGTGAAATCCAGTTTGACGCTCGTTTCGTCCAGGAGTAAACATCAAAACTGAGATGCAGGTACATCCAGCTGGTGAGTCCCAATTAGGACGTAACACGCGTCCTGGATTCCATTACTAGCCACTATCCATCTTTTGTTAATTAATTACCTGTTAATAAATTGTTTTTCAATAAAAGCAACAACTTGAGAGAAAAAAAGAGGCAGAACGATTGTTGATGGCGGCGGGACTATAATTTATCGACGAACCAATCAGATTTATGATAACAGGTTTTAAAATTTGGCGCGAAATTCACTCATCTATTTGGATAAATAGAGCTTTGGTATTATAGATGATATCGGTTCATGATAAAAACCATAAATCTAAGTCCTAACCTTAATCATTAACTGTAAATTACAATTATAATTCCTCACACATGTTTCTGATCCTCATTTGGTTCTGGTTATTAAGTGGACACACTCAAGATTAGTCTAGAGTTGCTCAAATATCGTCCATAAATTATAGACTTATCACTATGGCTATTTTCAATTTGTAAATGGTTGATTTGTTTTTCTTAATAAGCAATAACATTTTTGACTTGGACTTGTAATATTTCGCAGATAGATTTAAAAAATAAAGACCCATTTGATGAGACAATAATTTTTGGACAACCTTTGAGTAGTAATAAAGTGACCTTAAGAATATTCACGGATTTTCTAGGGTCAAAAGAAGGTTGTGAATTAATGTGAAAGATTAGAATTAGGATTTAGAGCTTTCACCATGAATTGACAGGACCCCTTCCCTTCCAGCCCTTCTGGAGAAGTAGCTACATCGAAGCACGGTACAAATACCGTGATGGGATAGCTGTTTTTTGCAGTTAAAGTTGTGATATTTTTCTTGATAGCACTCCTAATCGTTTATGGGTATCGGTCGAGTGGGTGATTTGTTCGATCTCTACCACCCAGTTTACCACTCACGTTGGTTCATGGGACGAGTCCCACATAAGATATCACAATGCTATTTAACTGTATGGATGAATGAATTTTTGCGTCAAAATTCTAAACTTTCTATCTTAAATCACATAAGTTCATCCATAAATTATTGTTTCACCATCCAGTCAGTAGGCTAATGTAATCCATAGACTTCAATTAATTTCTGAATTAGAAGAATTGATGAACAGTTTCAATGATATAAATACATCAATAAATATACTAGAATATCCAAAGGTTTCGAGTTGTTTGTATACGCCATTAATTGTTCTAAAAGTAATTTACTTTAAAACATTCATTTAAACATTAAATCACTTTTTGTTAGTAGAGAGAATTGTCCTTATGATTAAAGTCCCATTGTGGGACTCCTCATCAGTGCGTATCCACGATCCTACATCGCATGTTTCGAACCCAGGATCTATCAGTCTCTCTGAATCATGGATACACACTGCTGAGGAGTCCCATGATGGGATGAAACGGCTACCCAGTGCTTCCAGGTTTTCCATGATGGTCTAGCTTCAATTGACTCATGATTTCAACTATTGAAATTACTATAATATCCATAAACCCCCTTCGGATATTAAAATAAGAATAAGCAATACAATCAATTATTGTGTTCATTATTTTAAAGTACATATAATATGTAAAACATTTTCAATCAAATCAATTTGAATATTTAATCTAACTATTATAAAATCAATGTAATAATCATTAAATAAAAAAAAATCTATCTCAATAGTTTAGATCATAAGTCAATTGAAGCTAGACCACCATAGAAAACCTAGAAGCACTGGACGGTGGTTTCGTCCTATTGTGGAACTCCTTAGCAGTGCGCATCCATGACCCCGCTTCACAAGATTCGAACCCTTCTGATATTAATCAACATATGCTCACTGGTGACTGGCTTCAAGAAATATTTCCTGGAGTTTCAGTAAGAAGCAGTGACCAGTGGAGTTCAACCAGGTCTGTCGTGAGATAATAACTCACTGAAGACAATGATGGATGTATCGCCCAATTTTGTGGATTAGTTGAAGTTAGACACCATTGGATGTCGGCTGACTCAGTGATGTAGAGGTCAAGTGTTTACGAGCAAAACTAACATTCGTAAGTTCGAATCTTGCGAGTGAAGATTATGGATTCACACTACCAATGAACAGTCCTATGCTAGAACAAAATATCCATCCAATGCTTCCAAGTTTTCCATAATAATCTAGCTTCAATTAATTCATAATTTTAACTATTAAAATTACTAATAAAATATCCACATTAAAAAATACCCCTTCTGATAAAAATTTTATTTTATTTTATTTTTTTTATATTTTTAGTTTTACATTACCATGGTTAGGAACTAATCTAGAAACCAATTTAAATCAATTAACCAATAATATTTATCAAACAAATAATTCACTTGGTGATTATTTTTCACAATCGAATAATGTTTTATCAAATATATCATTGAATACAATTCCTTTATTAACTTGTCCAGAATATTATAATACACAAATTGGATTAAATAATAATAATAATAATATTAATAATAATGATACTCAAACAACTATGAATTTAAATGTAGCTAAGCAACAAAATCTGAATTTGATTAATAGTTTCCATAATCCTAATCATAATAATAACCATATTAGTTCAACAAAATCATCTATACCAATTGTAGACTCATTATTTTTTAATCAATTCACATCAAATTTAGATATTCATTCAGCTACAACTAAATTATTAAATGATATTTCAACTCATGCAGTCATTACAGGTAATATGAATGGTACTACACCACCAACACCACCACCACCACCACCACCAGCAGCAGCAGCAGCACCACAACCACCAACAGCACTATCATCGGCAACAACAAAAACAATAATAACACCAACTAATGATTTATTTTCAACAAATCATTATACTCCTAATTCTATATCATCATCAACAACAGCAGCAGCAACAACAACAACAACAATATTAAAAATAGAAGGTTTAGCACCTGGAACAGATGAATCAATAATATTAAGATTATTTTCTGCATTTCCAAGTGTACTATCTATACAATTATTACCTAATAAAGAGTTAAATATAAATGGTGAAAATAATCATACTTTAATAATGAATAATATTAATGATAAACAAGAAATGAAAGCATTAGTAATTATGTCAGATCATGAACAAGCAAAGTTAGCAATGCATTACTTAAATGGGTAAGTGTTTTTTTTTTTAATAATTTTTATAATGAAAGTGAAGTAGAATATTCCCCCCCCCCTTGTTGGTAATCATTTTTTAATTGATCAATCAATCATAATTAGTTTAAGAGCTGAGAAAAATATATATATATATAGCAATATAAGTTGTTATACCATATCAATATAATTGTTGGATTATAAGGACGTTGACATTTGACAGGAAGCATAGAATAAGATGGACAAGTTGAATACAACTAGACAATTCTGATTTTGCAAATCACCTAACCGTTCTATTCTATACACACCAGTAAATGAAAGTTAAAACGATCAGTGTAGTAGAAGCCTTTTCATTAGTAAATCTCAATATACAACCAGGGAAAAACCAAGATCTTCAAATACAACACGGAGAATATTTGATGGGGAAACTCTGAAAGAGGTGAAGACTTACATGTACCTGGACAGCATCATCGATGAACAAGGAGGATCAGATACAGTTGTGAAGGCAAGGATTGGCTATGCAAGGACAGCATTTCTACAAATGAGAAACACATGGAACTCAAAACAACTGTCAACCAATATCAAAGTTAGGGTCTTCAATACGAACGTCAAGATAGTCCTACTGAATGGAGTTAAAACTTGGAGAACTACTACAATCATCATCAAAAACGTACAAGTATTTATAAACAATTGTCTATGCAAGATACTCAATATCCGTTTTCCAGATACCATAAGCAACAGACTACTGTGGAAGAGAACAAACCAGCTTCCAGATGAAGAGGAAATTATGGAATGACGTTGGAAATCGGATAGAACAAACATTGAGGAAATTATCAAACTACATCACGAGACAAAAGCTAACTTGAAATCCTGAAGATAAACGAAAAGGTGGAAGATCAAAGTACAAATTGCACCGAGAACTAGAAGCAGACATAAATAAGGTAAATAGCAACTGGATAGAATTGCCCAAGACAGAGTTAGTTGGAGAATGCTGGTGATTAGCCTATGTTCGTGTACGAGGGATAGCACAAGTAAGAAAGTATGTAATAATCATAGTATCAATAATAGTGCAGAAATATACTTCCAATAAAAAGAATGGAATAAAGTAAAGGAATAGAAATTGTTAGTAAAACTCAAGATCCAGTCGATGATAGAAACATGCATGTAAGTGTACCATTGAAATTGGTTTTCAGGCATATCACTAAGGTTACATACATCAATGGTGATATTTTTTACAATTTACATAAATTACTTAATTACGCCTGTTACTCGTCGTGAAGGAGCATAGGCCGCTCACCAGCATTCTCCATCCAACCCTGTCCCAACCAATCCTTAACAGCTCTTTCCAGTTCATATTCATCCCTTTCATATCCGCTTCTATTTCCCGACGTAATATATTCTTTGGCCTTCCACTTTTCCGCTTTCCTTCGGGATTCCAAGTTAGCGCTTGTCTCGTAATGCAGTTTGATGATTTCGACAATGTATGTCCTATCCATTTCCATCGTCTTTTCCTAATTTCCTCTTCAGCTGGAAGCTGGTTGGTTCTCTCCCACAAAAGGCTGTTGCTGATGGTATCCGGCCAATGGATGTTGAGTATCTTGCGTAGACAGCTATTGATAAATACTTGTACCTTCTTGATGTTGGTTGTTGTAGTTCTCCAAGTTTCAGCTCGGTACAGTAGAACTGCCTTGACGTTCGTATTGAAGATTCTGACTTTGGTGTTGGTTGAAAGTTGTTTTGAGTTCCATATGTTCTTCAATTGAAGGAATGCTGTCCTTGCATAGCCAATCCTCGCCTTGACATCTGCATCTGAACCTCTTTGTTTATCGATGATGCTTCCCAGGTATGTGAAGGATTCTACATCTTCCAGAGTTTCGCCATCAAGAGTGATTGGATTGCTGTTCTCCGCGTTTTATTTGAGGACCTTGGTTTTCCCTTTGTGTATGTTGAGGCCTACTGATGGAGAGACTGCTGCTATGTTGGCTGTCTTTATCTGCATTTGTTCGTGTGTGTGCGATAGGAGTGCTAGGTGAAGTACAAATCGTCTAATTGGTTCTAAGCTGTCTATTGTATACCGTGTTTTCCCTCAGATGTTGAGGTCTTCATAATCCAGTCGACCACCAGAAGAAAGAGGAAGGGAGAGAGTAGACAGCCTTGTCTGACTTCGGTAATTTACATAAATTGCCACAATGAAATTAATATAAAGTCAATAAATTCCTACTTAAGATCCAGCTGTTTATACTAGAATTCAATTCAGTGTTTCCAACGCGATGTAGTTGATAGTAATCTTTTAGGACAATATATACACATTATCATAATACTATACAATTAACTCCCTTGGGAGACTCTTATAGAACTGCAACAATAAACATTGTGGAGAGCCCAACATAATTGTATATACAATCAATAATCCCTTCTTGTATCTCATTTGTAAATAGAAACTTTCTTTCAAGTGAAATCATATAGTTTATACTTAAATTACTACTCTCTATTTTGTTAACTTAATCAAAACTATGCAACAAGTTGTGCATAGCTAAATCTTTCTTTGTGACCTCGATCAACTGGGAAATCTGTAAAATAAGCTTATGATATAGTTTATTGCTAAGATTGATCACAAAATACTATCAGTTTTTTTATAGGTCTTAGACAGATCACATAACCGTTGACACTTAGGTTGTTCTATATCTTAGAGATTCATTAGTCAATTCATCTATTAAATCCACTTTCAATGGCCGGTTTAAAAGGTGAATAATCTTATTTTCAATTCATAAGTTATAAGTTTATTCTACATGTCTATAGTGAAGTGCTCATTATCATAATGAAAAACTAAACCAAAACCTTTTCTATGTCTAAACAGAACTACTTGGTCATTTATTTACTAGTTCACCTAAAGCAATTCTACATTGTTTTCATAATGAATTTGTTAATGTTAATGAAATGATACCATACTGATGGAGACATAGATTAAAAATCTAGATGTTTCTTGTTATTGCATAGCAATTATTAATATCACCGTCCACTAGGTACAAGACGTAACTGACCAATAAATGATATGGTTGAGTGCTACCCATTATTCTGTAGTGATAATTTATAGATGACAAACATTGGCAACAATGATAATGATAAATTTGTTTCAGATTCTACACTACTTAAAAATAATCAGTAATATATACCATAATGGGATATGTGGAGAAATGGCTAATGTTTCAAAAACATTTATTTCGTGTGGAAATTTGGGATGAATAAATAACGAGTAATAGATACATTTGTAAGCAAATAACAGTGTTCATCAATTAGTAATCGGTGAAATTTAGGCCACAAGTTAGATTAGTTTGGAGTGGTAGGTATCTAAATTGCCGTGCGATTGGTTATGTGTTTAGTTCTGAACATAGCTAACACTTTTTTCCTATTGAACTTAAAAAAAAAAGAACTTAACTAATGCTGATTATCCCGTTGACCTGCAGGCATAACTGAAGAACTCAAAGTACAATTCCTTGACATTAGTTACAGTCTTTAAGGAGGTAGTTTACAAAATGAAGCAGTCTTTGTACTTTGAAACACAACAGCTGTCATTAGCATTCCGAAGAACATCTGTATATTATTCAAATGAAACAATCTGTGTTCAGCCTTTTTTACTGTACGAACATAGCATCAATGCAATGAACAGTTTTCCCTAGGAAACTCATATATATGTAAAACCAGAATTATGATGCATTTCGGTCTCACCTAACTGTATCTCATCTGTCTGCAGATAACTAGTGTTCCAGCTACTATAACAAAACGGGTCCCTAACTTTATGCAGACTTTGCAGGTAAATGACACCAAAGTATGCAATTATGTAGCTATCAATGTAAATCAGCAATTTTTAGATGACAGATGAACTAAAAATCGTCATACTAATCACTAATGAATTTTCAAAAACCCAGGAGTTACCTGGAGAAAAACATATATATATATATATATATATATATATATATATATATATATATATATATATATATATATATATATATATCCATAATGAACAATGAATGATAGCAAAAAGACGAGATAAGGTTTACACTAAAGTGAATGTTTCAGATATAATACTGTCAAGAGTTATTTATGTATCATTATAGGAGAAAAATGTTTCGTTTTCTTTCAAAGTTGAAATATACCTCATGAGGTATGGATAAAGGATAAGAAATCAATTCACAACCCTATAACAAAATAGTTCACTACATATTTGCTTAATATATGATTCATTTGAAACACTCGATTATCCTTTTGTAAATAAGTAACAAGAAAGATAATATGCATTAAATTAAATCTACCACAATATTTTTCATAAGTAGATAGTTCATCATGTTTGGATTGCTGACATCCAGTGGCAACACCCTGTTAGTAATGCAGAGGTTCGGCATCGTGTGTTCGGGCACAGAGACGATAATCCAATTGGTGTCACCATCTTGAAACACCAACTTCGGTGGCTTGGACATGTTCTACGAATGTCGTCCCAGAGAATTCCACGTCGTGCATTATTTGCCGACGCTGGGACTGGTTAGAAAAAGCGGAGAGGTGGCCAGTGTATGATATGGTGTCGTGGTATGAAAGAAAGCTGCAAAGAGCTGGCTTGTGTTGGTCCTTCACGACTCTCTGGTTGGGGTCTGAGAGATGATGCGACACAGTGGCTAGAGACATTATCAGATATGGTTCAGAATAGAAGCCAGTGGCGATCCTGCTGTAACCTTCTTTTACTTTCTTCATAAAAAGTGGTTGTATCTTCCTTAACTGAAAGCATTCTTTCTGGTTGTACCATTCCGTTTCCCCAATTATTGTTCTCTCTTTTTTTTTATAATTCCCGACGTTCCTTACCTTTTTTTTCTCTTCTCTTTAAATTCTCATTGTTTTGTATGGCGCATATATATTTGGTGCCCTCCTGTACCAATATTTATGTGTTCAAACAAATAAATAAACCACAATATAAAATTAAGATTATCAAAATCCTTTTAATTTACATAATAAAACCCATGTCTGACTACCTTCAAATTAACAAGAAAAATCAACTTTGAATATCCGAAGCAACAATAAGCGAGACTATAATTTATGAATGAACCAATTAGATTTATGATAACAGATTTTGAATTTTGGCACGAAATTCATTTATTTATTTGATTAAATAGAGTTTTTTTGACATTATAGTTGATGTCAGTTCATGATGAAAATCCTAAATGTAATATCGAATTTCTAACTATCAACTGTAAATCATAATCCTTATTCAGATAGGTTTATATTGGTACAAGGGGGCATCAGATATATGCGTCACACAAAACAATAAGAATGAGAAAAGATAAAGAATGTAAGTCATGTAAGGTATAAAGAAAGGAAAAAAGAACAATGACAATGACAAATTAGTGTATGGTAGTGAAATAATATAATGGGGGTAACGGAATGGTACAACCAGAAAGAATGCTTTCAGTTAAGGAAGATACAACCACTTTTTATGAAGAAAGTAAAAGAAGGTTACAGCACGATCGCCACTGGCTTCTATTCTGAGTCAAATCTGATAATGTCTCTAGCCACTGTGTCGCATCATCTCTCGGACTCCAACCAGGGAGTCGTGAAGGACCAACACAAGCCAGCATTTTGCAGCTTTCTTTCATACCACATATTCGTGTTCGATGGAAGCATTTAATTTTCGACAAGTCAGTGACTCGAGATCGTTTAGATAGAACAGAATTTTCACCATGGGCAAGCTGGTGTATAAGTTGAAAAACAAGGATACGCAAAGTGGTACTAAAAAAGAGTGAATAAGTGACGTGGTAAATAATAATAATAATGTGAATTATTTGACTGTTAATCGAAGCGTGAATAGAATTTTCAGTAAATATTATCATTTTCATTTTATGTGTGGGCTGTGATACTGCCCGGGTACCCGAACCTAAGCAAGTGGTTTTCTTAGGTGGCAACACCCCGAGCCTTTGACCTAAAGGTGTAACCCACAAGGCAGTGGAGCATCGTAAGGAGATGCACTCCCAAGTTAGCCGGTGACCAACAATTGGTTCATACACCATTTGTTCCCTCAGGGTACTGGAGCCCATGTACACCATTGGTTTGGGATCCGGTTAAAGCGCCGGACATTCGCTTTTCGTCCTCTCATTTTTGTAAACAACACCCCCATGGCTAGAAGGCAGTGAGTAGGACTTCCCTGGCAGAGGCTGTATACGCTTGACCGTATGAGAGCATTTCGAGAAGGAGGGCGAGCTTTCTCCACTCTCGGTCATACCAAGGCATTTGGGGGTTTAGCCGTAGTATATAGGTGAACGTTCTCAAAGTAACTTGAACGTCATTCAAAGATCGTTCATAAATTATAGTCTCACCAAATTGTAAAATATACTTTAATTCATAGCTATTATAATTATTGTTATAACGATATAACACAATAGGTATTATTACCAAGGTTTGATTTGATAATTTCGAATAAATTGAGCATTGGGTAGATTGTTATAAATAAATAATATATTCTTAATACCCCAATGAGTAGGAAAAAACTAAATCTTCCGACGTTTCGTGACTTAGTGTAAGCCACTTCTTCAGAGAATAAATAATTTGGTTGTTTATACTCTGAAGAAGTGGCTTACACTAAGTTACGAAACGTTAGAAAATCTAATGTTATAACACTATATTTAATCAAATCAAATCATAACTATTACTATAAACTAATATAAACAACTGTTTTTTTTTTAACAATTCATTTCAGATGTACATTACAAAATCGAATATTGAAAGTTTCAAGAAGTGAAAGTATAAATCAAACAACTAATTATAATTTGAGTGAATTTCTACAACCAACTAATACCATTTTATTATAAACAAGTTTACTAAAAGACAAGAAAAGAAAAAAGAAGAGAAGGAAATTGATCAATCAAATCAACTGATCAGTAATATATACACATAAATAAGATCATTGTATTATTCATAAATGTTTCAATAGTATATTACTGTTTTACAAGATTCTATCAGCATTTTGAATCAACAAAAAAAAACCTGATCTAAAAGGGATATTTACAAATAAATATTTAAATAATATTCATTTGATAAGATTTTGTACAAAAATTGCTTTTAAAAAATATAAATATAATCTTTGAACTAGTATTGTGGTGTGTGTGTGTGTTACTTATATCGACATAAGTAGTATATAATGGTGTCAGGCATAGAATGTATTCCAGTAGAAGGTCGATGAGGAAAAGAACGGGAACGGAACGCAATTGGTATGAAAACGCATGAACAATGAAATCTGAGACAATGGACTAATGTTTGCAGCAGGAAGGGTGCTGTTCCGCGGACGCCGTTGAGGGATTGGAGCTGAGGTGCCGGTTGGGGCTGTCTGGTGCGGAGAGGTGGCGTATAGCTGAGTGTTCTGGAGGGGCGGCGTTGGCTGTAGCGGGTGCTGTCGACAGAGAGCGGTGGCACGTGCGGCTGTTGGGCGGGCATCGGATGTAGATGGCTCAGCAGGCCAGTGGAGCACGGATGACAAACGTCCCAGGTGCTGGGTGGGTGTCGGTGCCCCGGCAGGTCGACGGAGCTATGGGTCAGCGCGCCGCAGACTCGACATCTTGACGAAGGGCGTAGCACTGACTGCAGAAAGGAAAAATGTGGCGCGGCGAACACGAACCACCCCAAGAACAACTTTAAAAGGGAGGACGAGTGTGGTGTGTGTTACCTATGTCGACATATGTAATATATGACGCTAGTCATGAACAGATTGTCTAGCAGCAGAGAGACAAGAGAATCGAGCAGTAAAGAATGGAAACAGAATACAATTTGTGTGAAAATGCAAGAACAATGAAGTCTGAGTTATTTTGAGACAATTGATAGACATTTTGCAAATTAAGCCTTTACTATATGATTGTTAGATTTTATTAACAAGTTCTGTAATTTTGTGTCAAATACATTCGATTGTTCCTCACTCGTGTTCTGTTCACTACAGTATATATTTTACTGAACTTTAAAAATTGTGTCGCATTATGATCAGTTCGAGTATAGTAGATTAAGTAAACAATCATTTTGATGGAAAAATACAGAAACTAGTTAAGTCATAGATTATACTATACGTATTATTGCAATAAATTAAGGTATACAATGTAAAACTATTCAAACTGACCGTTATATAATCAAGTTTTCAAGATGTTATAATCAGTCATAGCATTCGGACGTTGGATATATAGTAATAATAACGAGAAAGATCTGTTCAAAATTGCCATAGACTATATGTCGATATAATTTACTATTATGTAACATTGATTTCCACATAAATACCTTTGTTGGTATGAACAATCTTGTAATATTCCAGACAAACACCTATGTATTTTCTTATCTTCGAGCATGATATTAGTACGAAACATAATCGGACATTTTATGACAACTGAGCATTATTATATTGAAAGAGAATAATATAAAGCTTATTATAAATTGAAGTATCATAGATAGAATCTTCACATAGTTTTAAACTTTCGCATAACAATACAAACCACTTATTTACGCCTATTACCCTTCGTGGAGCATAGGCCGCCGATAAAATACATACTTAATAATAACAACTGTATGAGGTTCTCCTAATATGTTTCACCTGTTCGTCTAATTAACACTAAACAAAACATTATCATTGGACTCTGATTATCACCAACATCAGCAATTGACCAAATAATAGTTCATTACATTTCGCTAAAGAGCATAAATAACAATGAAATGATGATTTTGGTGGAATTTTGTTCTCTGATCAAACCACCCAGCTCAGAGAACAATTTCAACAACTGACAATGTTTTTAGGAATACATTTAATGAAGAATGCCATGTATAACTTTTTAATTCTCAAATTAAGTCATGTTTTTCGACCTTATTGTTCTTCATCCATATCAAATCCATTCTAATATAGTAAATATAACCTAGATTGTAAATAGTCGACTTCATACACAATTCTTTCAATTTGAACTTCAATCAAATATATAATTTCGAAATGAATAGATATAAATTTATGTATTACATTTTCACTGGAAATACTAAAGCGTAATCAAGTCTATGACTTTTTACATTTTTCGATCAACTGAAGTTGTCTAACAAAATCTTGATCTGTTGGGAATCCAACACACACACACACACACACACACAAGCATCCCTTTTAACAAGTTATATCACAACTGCTCGAAATAGACGTATGATATAACGTGACTAAGGTAATAACAATTTGAAAATGGAGTTGATCTTATCAACTCCATCATCTCATTGCTCTATCGGAATTTATCAAAAGGACTAATTACTTTAATGACATTTTGTTACCGAATTCGAAAAATTACAGTATTTGTTGAAAGTAGACTCATCATGCGTTTTTGATTGGTCGTAAATCAGAGGGTAAATCGAACATATTTCATATCATTAAAAAGTTTATCTCCCCTTGTGTAGTAAACAAAACACTGCATAAATTCACGGGAAAATACAGTTTCATAAAACCCCTTTATTTGAAATGTCTATAATATTAGTAATTTAATGCATTACCGGAGCACATCACTGTATGCTTATCTGAAAACAGTTCTTCTATACGAACTCACTGTATTCATGATTTTATTACACAAAACAAAATGAGAAATGAATAAAAACAAACTAATCTTTTCCAAGCATAATAATAGTAATTGATAACTATATATTACATATCAGCTTGTGGTGACGAGAGCAATATCATTTCCCCCTTTAAAAAACGTTAGGAATAATTTGTATACGGGATTGAAAATAAAAGCCAAAAGGGAAAATAGGGAATATACAATAACTAACTCAATATGTTTTTACATATACACATTAAGAAAGTTTGCATTTATTTGAAGAGGGAGAATATATATGTATGCAGTTTCAAACGGCACCACATAAAAATAAGCGGAAAACAACTAACGTCATTTACACAACTGCAATTAACAACAAAGAAGTTTAACTTTGTTCAAATTAGAACGCTAATCTTTTAGTGCTTACACACACACACACACAAGTGCAAACACAATAACTCTAATGAAAAAATACTGTCCAGTTTATGTTTCATCTGATAAAACAATAGGAATATAATTACATCATTATGAACAAAGAAAATTATGGACGACGAGAGCGTCTGCTTGAAAGTGGTCGACGTCGAGGCGCATTCGGTGCATTAGATGAAGGACTAGTTGAAGATGTACCGAAAGTGAATGGATTAGAATTAGCAACGCCAGTACTTAAAGGTGTTTGACCAAAAACAAAACAAGCATTTGTTTGAGGAGTAATTACACTTGGTGTAGATGTTTGGGGTAGAGAGAAATTAAAGCCACTAAAATTAGTTGGCGGATTAATATTAGAAAATACGGGAGTTGAAGAGAATTGAAAAGAGTTAGTGGTAGTAGTTATGGGACCCGAATTAAGCGAGGAAAACGACAAAGTTGGTAGGGTGCTCGGTTGTGAACATGCAGGTGTGAAGTGTTGGCCAAACGAAAATTGAGGCACTGATGAACCAAAAGAGAGTGGTTGAGAAACAGAAGCTGCAGATGGCTTTGGATTAGAACTGAAACTCCCGAACTGAAACAATGTACTAGCAGGCGTTACAGAAGTTACAGTTGTAGTCACAATTGTCGCACCAAACGACAATCCACTGGTGATGCTTACATTAGATGCGGCGCTAGAAGTTAACTGATTAAAATTGAATTTCAAAGATGATGATGTATTAGGAGTTTCGAAAATCGAATTACTAGCTCCAAATAAAGATGTAGTTTTGGCAGGAGTTACATTTGCTGGTTTAATTCCAAGAGTAAAGGAGTTTGTTGAAAATGTTGTAGACACTGGATTAAGTAATGGGTTTATCGTAGTTGAACTGAAACCAGATACAGACGTGTTTGTGGGAAGTGATACAGTTGTGGAACTGATGTTAACAGAATTTGACCCAAATAATGATACGCCAGAAGTACTAGCAATTGGGGATGTAAAGGTAAACAAACCAACATTATTTGCTACAGAATTTAGTGATGACGTGGTACCCGTTGTCTGACCAAAAGTACCGCTAGAAATGGTTGATGGAGGTTTAGACACGTTAGCACCAAAGACAAAACTACTTGACACAGGTCCAGAGTTGGGAAACGATCCCAGAAATGATGGTATAGAAGTTGATCCAAAACTAACGGATGAGACTGGGTTAAGTGAAGATGTAGTCACTGTCGACGCTCCAAATGTAAAAATGGAAGCCGTAGAAATGGGCTGAGAGTTACTTGAACCAAAAGTAAACGGTCTGTTACTGTCGGACTGAACTATATTTTCAGCTACCGATGATGGATTACTAGTAGGAGCACTAGCCGATGATGTAATAGCTGGTTTCGGGAAAGAAAACCCACTGAATGTAGAAATAGGCTTCAAAGGTTCAAAAACACTTGAAGTAAGATTTGCTGTCGATAATAAGTTTGAACCTAGAGAATAAATATGAATGAAATTAAATAAAAGCTCGTATCGAAATCCTGTTCAAAAAAGAATGTAATTATATCTTAAAACCAATAAGTTAACCAAATCCAAATTCGTGACACCAATATCATGGACAAAATTATCGATTCTATTGACCCCAATTGTGTTTTTCCTTAGGTATCTTAACTGCTGATATTAAGATTCTTCTTAACTATGTAACATCATATAATCTCGCATTCATTATTTCTTCAGTTGGTTTAGGGTTAGAACTTTTATTTAGTAGCAACATTCATCTAAAAGTTCGATCCTGACACTGTCGATGAACTGGCTGTTTATACTACGAATAGCACCTTACAACGGCTGTTTGGTGATCTCTAAATATCATATATCCTAAACCCGCTTGATAGTTTCATAGACATCTCACTGCATAAATGTATAAACGGCAGAACAGTAATATGGGACAAACAAGATAATGTGATGTTGACGTCTTGATACCGTACTCGACCACATTATCTTAACGATCAGAAAAGCAAAGTGCTAATTCAGTGGTTAAGGCGTATGGCTTTTAGCCATTAGGCTAGGGGGTTGGAACCCCCTTGCATCCATTACAGTCTTAGCAACCGGTAGCATTACTAATTATAACTGAAGTGTGTTTCGAAGCCAAGCACACGAGTATGTGTGCCTGGTAAATGAGCTATGCAATAGATGAGTGGAGTTTGGAAATGTTTGTATGTTTAAATTTCACGTATTTCTATTAAATATACAAAACAATAAATCAATACAAACATTAAGTTGCCTCATCACTCAATTCGTACTTAAGTAGAGTTCATATTACTCCCCCATAAAAAGGGAAAATAAATAATATAATATATATAAGAATGCTTGAATAAGCTATCAGTAAAACATATTATGTAGCTAGACTTACGGTGGTTGCAGAAAAGAAACCTATACTTCAATGCGAGTTTTAACAATGATTACGTCACACCTCAGTATTTATAAACTTTAATGTATACATGAACACACATGGAGAATAAATCAGAATACGGATTCAGCCAGTCAGTTAATCATAACCAACGTACAGCTTGCCAAAATATTAATTCAGTGGTTGGATAACATGCTTCGGTTTGAGCGCCCGGGTGGCACTCCAGACCACACACAAATCGAATGACGAAGTGTGTCGCATATATATTTAGTGCCCCCTTGTACAAATGTTTATGTGTTTAAATAAATAATGAATAAGTGGATAACATGTATTTTAATAGGTTTGCAAAGTGAATTCTAAATTTTCGATCAACACAAACAGTGGGTAGCTCTTTTCATTTATAATCAAATACAATGAATGAAAGGATAGAAGTGATAATACATAGCAACCTCTAGTGAAGGCTTTAACCATCGTAAGGATAGGCTCTCTATAAGTGTTCGAAATTAAAACTTTTAGTAGTCGATCGTATCATAATCCATTACTCTGATGATCATCCAAACATTTCATCATATTTTATAAATAAACGGATTAATTTAGGTAACTTGTATCAATGAAAATATTCAGAGGGCATTTGGGACATAACAGCTTCATAGTGTTTTAAAACGATTTTCCTATGTACATGCATAGATTCAACTTTGGTTGTAAATATTAAACAACAGATAAAATCGTGAACAATGGCTATATTGTTACCAAAGAATTTCAGAGAAGACAATTACATTTAAGAACTTACTAGTCGTCTGTAAAGGAGTTGATGAAGTAGATGGAAATGCAAAAGAGAAAGCAGGAGTAGTCTTCTGTGTTGCTGTTGTTGTCGCCATTACAGAAATTATTGTGGCAGATGTAGTTATCGTGCTGGTCGGAAAAGTAAATATGGAAGATGGAACTACTGCAGAATTACTTTCAGATGTTGAGACAGCACTGAAATTGGTAACTGATGGAAATATTGGATGTGAGACTGAAGCTGACGTAGTTACAGCTATTGTTGAAATGATTGTTGGTTCCTTTAAATTTGATACGTGGGCAGTAGAACCAGTAGAGAAAGAAAATGAAACTGATGTAACAGCAGTTGCCAATACTGTACTTGCACTAGTCACTGAGATGGATGGAGAAGATATTTTGGATGTAGAAGTAAAACCAAAACATATGCTACTAGGTAGACTTACTATAGAAGTAACGGCAATAGATGTTGGGATAACAGCTTGAGTGCTGATAACTTCACTAATTGAACTAATTACAGGGAAACTGAAATGTTTAGAAGTGGTTGAAGAAGTCAATGGATTGCTAATAGAAGTGATATTCTGAAGTGATGCCGACGTGTTACATACAATGACTGACATGAAACTTATGCCAGATGTTGAATGAACACTAGGCAGTGACGATGATATGGTAGAAACTATCGGAGATGAATTTGAACTAGCTACGATTTGAGTGATGGGACTACAATAGCTAGTACTTGTAATAGAACTGATAGTAGAGTGAGTACTATAACCACATGAACTGCTCGAATTATGATTACTAGATTTGGCTGAGATCAGTTCACGAATACGTTTTACACGCGATTCCACATCAAATCCCGCAGAAGCAGTCTTAATCTGTGACTGACTCATCTTATCAAGAAATAGGTTTGAATGACTTTCAAGGTTTGCAATAAAGCGATTTAAGGATGTCGGCTGAACAACTGGGAGTTCTGAACTATCAGTCTCTAATTTCTCATCGTAGCAAGTTATATTAGTAACTAGTGGTGGCCCAACATTATTTAAAGACGACTGAGTTGAATCCTCTACGGTTTGAATGTTTTCAGTTGCAATCCTACGAGCAGTGACTTTTTTTCTTGAATACTGAAAAGGTGATGTATCCAAATCAATAGAATTAAAATCACCTGCTTCTGAGGTGTGATTCTCTAGAGCATACTGACTCGTATATGTTAAAGCTTTAGTAGACAACAAATGGGCTTCAAGTTCAGATGGTGACATGTATGGAACCTTTCTTCTCAAAGCTGCAGCAGATCCAAAAATATTATTTGTGAATGGTTTAACACTCCCCGTGGATGATGTGGATGAAACTGTTCTATCATCTTCACACTCATTCAAAAGTTGCGTCTGAACAGATTTGCTATTTCGATCGTTCACTTTGGATAGTAATCTGTTATCAGTGGCACAGGCAGTAACCCCAACTGCATTTCCGCTATTGAGTTGACGCAAGGATGTGAAAGAAAAGCCGTCGACATCGTGTGTGCACCCCACGGTAGATATATCGAATGTCTTAGATGTTTTTCGACGCTTAGAATTTCCAACGTCTGATTCATCTTGCGATGATTCCTCTGTAGTAACAGTAATATCAGAAAGTTCACGAGCACGCTTTTTCGACTCGAAAACACGTAGACCATGTTTAATGGCTATGTCTGAATTAGGTGGCTCAGGAGTACCAAATAAGTTTGTCTTTGTGCTCTCAGTCCGACAAACGCGACGTTTCAGAACCGGAGAATGATAACCATTTAAAGGCTGGAAATTAAAGATAGTCGGCATATAACTTGGGGAATCCCTGTGTAGTGTTCGACTTCGACCAAAGTAGGCTGAAACTAGTGAATGTTTGGAACGGTCTGAGGATGTTGAACTTGAGCCATTTAGGAGAGAGTGTCGCCTTTGAGAATGATTTATTGGACCATTACCCGACACTTTTGGTAAGAGAATCCTAGAGTAGTAAGGCTGGGATGTCTGTGGAGAGTCCGACGAATTTGATATCACAGGGTTGTTCCGGTACATTAGTGAAAACTGTTAATGGTTACCATGTACAGCTAAAAATATATACAAGGAACATGGAAAAAGACATAACCATATGGTAAAATCGGTAATACCTCTTTGACGAATCTCACTACAAACCAACTTAGTGAACTGTGATATGTAAAACGAAATCCGTTCTGAATATTAAGTATTTAGTATATATATATATATATATATATATATATATATATATATATATATATATATATATATATCACGGTTCCTCAAAGATATTTAGTTAATCCAGCATACCAAAACAAGTCATCTTAAGCGTACATAGAAATAGATAAACACAATGTAGAACCTTACAAGAACGAAACTTTTTGAGCTACCATACTTCGCGTATATAAATGACATTACTTTTATGAGTTTAATTGGAAATGGACTTTATAACGGTCCGTATTAAGTTTTCAGTTACGTGCACGGATTCAGCTCATATGTAGGAAGTTGCATTTTTCATGCAGTCTATTAAACCTCCGGACAGTACATAATATACCCAGAAAATGCCAACACCTAATGGTGTTTATTGAACAAGATCTTTCTAGGGTCATATTAAATCCTGAGAAGAATCGGTAGGTCTTATCTTTTTACGTGTTCATTTCCGTAACAGATTTTGACGGAGATCTTTACGATAGCCAAGAACTGACTTTCATTAACGTGACAAGATGTGAGTACTACAAACGCCAACTTCTAAGAATTTCAGGCGGATAATCCAAAAAGTAAGTAACAAAGGTAAATCATACTGAGTTACCATTGTCTTAGTCTGAACCAAATAAACGAATCGATAAGCTAAAAACTTCAGACATTAAACAGCACTCACTTAGTATCTAAAGACATTCTCACATCTCTGAAAGCAATTCACTCAGTGGTAATTATATAAACCCCAGGGAAAGTCCCTACGAAAAACTATTCAACTGTTACTGCAGTGCAGTAAAAAGATGGCTCCATCCGGTTGAAAGGTAATTACCATGAGATATCGTAACCAGTAAACTAACAAGACATCTAGACGAATTCTGTTGAGATAATAAATTATTATTCAAGATGCATTAGCTGCGCAACTGAAGTGTAAATAAAGTCCACAATCAAGGTAAGTGGTGGTCAACGTAGCAGACTACCTAACTCTTTACTGTCCAACTCTTAAGATAACATTTTACATGTGTATGGCGAGGAACGTGTCTCAACCATTCTCATATTCACTTAGTGTTCAAAATCTACACCATTTGATTTCTTAACGTTAGTAGAAGAATCCCTGGGTAAGAGATCATCTGAGAAATCAAGCAAGCGATACACTTTTAAACGAATCTATAAACCTGAACTAAAACCAGGGAAACAGGCGCTCTTAACAAACACCGATAGGTGTAACTAACCTAATGATGCCCCAAATGCTCTGGTATGGCAGAGAGTGGGGAGAGTCAGCTTTCCCTCTCGAAATGCTCTCACATGGCTATATGCATACAACCACTGTCAGGGAAGTCCTACTCACTGCCTTCTAGCCACGGGGGTGTTATTTACTAAATTGAAAGGACGAAAAATACGGAGAATCTACCTAGGGAGGTTGGACGACCCTGATTTCAAACTATTGATGCACATGGGTTTTAGCATCCTAAAGGGACAAATGGTGTATGAACCTATTGTTGGTCACCGGCTATCATGAGACTGAATCTCCTTACGTTGCTCCACTGCCTTGTGGATCAGACCTTCAGATCAAATGCTTCAGGTATGACCCCCTAAGAAAACCACCTGCTTCGGTTTGCGTACCCGGGCAGTATCTCAGCCCTTACACAAACCGAATGATTTATGTGGCGCATGTCTATTTGATGCCACCTTGTACTAATGTTTGTGTGTTTAATTAATTAAAATTTTAATTAGTTAATTAAAAACCTGATGACTGCAAAGAATTTGAGTCCCAAGTGATCAACTAAAGAGCATTTAACAGGATTATGTACTTCCTACTTCTTTTGATGAAAGATCACATCAGAAAAGAACTTTAACTGAAGGAGTCTAACCCCACCTTTATTTTATTTATTTTAACACATAGATATCGGTACAAGGAGGCACCAAATACATATGCGCCACACAAATCTCAATTGATTTGTGTGAGGGCTGTGATACTGCTCGGGTGCCCAAACCGAAGGTGGTTTTCTTAGGTGGCAACACCCCGAGCCTTTGACCTAAAGGTGTAACCCACAAGGCAGTGGAGCATTATAAGGAGATGCACTCCCAAGTTAGCCGGTGACCAACAATTGGTTCATACACCATTTGTTCCCGCAGGATACTGGAGCCCATGTACACCATTGGTTTGGGATCCGGTTAAAGCGCCGGACATTCGCTTTTCGTCCTCTCATTTTTGTAAACAACACCCCCGTGGCTAGAAGGCAGTGAGTAGGACTTCCCTGGCAGAGGCTATATACGCATGGCCATGTGAGAGCATTTCGAGAGGGAGAGCGGACTCTCCCCACTCTCGGCCGTACCAGGGCATTCAGGGGAAATGAAGTCAAGTATCCGTGATATGTATACTATAAAACTCAAGGTTTTGGTACTCGGGCAGTTTTATAGCCCGCACACAAAGCAAGTGACTTGTGTGACACATATGTACTCGGCACCCCTTTGTATCAATATTTATGTGTTCAAATAAATAAATAAAACAAGGAATTTTAGGTGCTCATTCGACACATTCACTATCAATAGTAAGACCTGCCGTTTTATAGGGTTCCCTGTTCTAAATCACTGGTTAAGCGATGTACTATAAAGGATAGAATTGTAGAAAACATGATCACTACAAAAGCAACAATAAAAGTAATGCAACTTTTCAGCTAAGTAAAGGTTTGTGTATTGAGTCTCGAGATTACGCAAACTGAAACAGGAGCTTTGTCTGAACGTGTAACTTGATTATTCCCACTATTAATTAGTGATTACTACGACTGACAAGTGTGAAGCATATCACAAACATAAGTCTTTGAAAACATTCGTAAGATTCAACAGCTTGTAACTGTCTTTGACCAGAGGGACTGACACCTTTTTAACTTAAACGGACCATAAGCCTTCAAATAAATCAGATCCCGAAAAGCCGTGACTGAACAATGTTTCCTAAGACTAAAGAATAACATTCTGACCAACAATCAAATGTCTGAAACTTCCCTGATCCATCTCCTTTACCAGACTTTTTATGATTATGAAGTTAAGGGTCATAGAAATTAATGCAGTTGAAATGATTTCTAAGTGTCCATCATAAAAAAATCCTGGCTTTCTTGCAAACTACATTAAATATTAAGACCAACTTGAAGGAAATATTCATGATACTCCATCTACAGCTCAAAGGTAGTTTGTGCTTGCTAACCTGCTACCTTTCAGTTGAACTGTAGTTCTCTTAAGTTAATAAGAACTTCATTAATGATTGATTTATCTATTCATTACTTTCCGTCTACCTGATCGTTTCTATAAACTCTTGACGTGATAACAGATGCTAATATGCGGTCATAGACAACGATTTAAATGCCAATAGTCAGGCTAACATCAGTCATGTTACATAAACATGCTACATAAAACTTTGCATGTGTTGGTTCTACTTACCACATCATACATCAGCTTAACAGTAGTAAGCTAACTAGATAGAACAATCGAGTGGAGACAATAAAACCAAGTGAACTGAAAAGAATGGATATGACGGGGAAATATGGATACAGTTTAAACAGCTAACAAAATATGGACGATGAATGTTCTAGCCCAAATGAAAACGATGTTAGGACACTAATTGACTTCTGAATACAAACTGGTTTTCTGACAGACCCCAGTCACATCACCACTTATGATACGGCATGAATTCACCTCGTAATAAAAGAGAATGGTTGGGGTGAGGATTAAGCGTTTCCACGAATTACAGAGGAACTAACTGACAAATATTACGAAGTGTACAGGAATTTTGGTACAAGCCGTGTGACGTTTCTATTATCTACTAACTTTGAAGCAGGAACTTTCTTGATGCTTATTCAGAATCGGTCTGTAGATAAAGGGAACATAAAAGCTGGCACATAGGTGTACATTGTGAGTGGGAAACATGACCTAGAGAGTAGGGAGTGAAACAGTAGTAAATTTTATGAACTAGGAAAGCAGTATAAGGCATTAAGCAATTACTAGGTAACACCTTAGAGCACAAACGAATGAGGGAACAGTGTAATTTTTAGGTCTAGCTTTAATTTTTGATGAAACCATGATACGGCCATGAGCAACAAAAGTGAGAAAATTCCAGCTGAGATACATAGAATCTACTTAAGGGGATACTACATGAGAGTAGAGAGACGCACTTTTGATGCATACGTGAAATAACTTGGTTACAATTTCTCCAAATCTGGAAATGCTCGAGATGTTTCTATGACCAGATGAACAAAACTCTTGGACTGAATTAAATCATACTCATTAATTGGCCTTGGAACTGGTAAACTAAGAAAATGATTTTGAAAGGTAAACAAGCAAGCTGTCTACAGGCGGAAATTGATTTTGCAGCCCCAAACTGTATAAAAAGCCGCAACAATACTATTTACTTGTAACTACAAATGAATATTGGTCTCTTACAGAGTTGTTGATCTTAATGATTTTGAGGCAAAACATTTTTTCATTACGACATCATATTAAACAAACAACAAGTGTGAAAATCCCGAAGATTTTGAAGTGAAACGACTAATTATTTTCCGAAAAATAAAACTTAAAACGAATGTTTGTCTTCAACTACTATTAAATGTAAGGCATGAACGCTAAATAAAATAACAAATACATATATACCAATGCAGATCACATACAGCCACAGCAAAACGTGAACAGCCGCCCCGAGGCGCTAAAAGTTGTTTTAATTCACCAACACGAAATTCAAAACATCCTCAGCAAAAAACTATCAGGAAGCGTAATCACAAATGAATAAAGTTGCTAATAAAGGGGATTGGTTTTATTTGCGTGCTACAGGACAAGAACTTGGGGAGAGTTCATTAAAA